TTTAGATACAAACAAAAAGGATAAACCTCCTTTGAAGATATTTTAAAAATTAACTAATCCTAATTAAACATACAAACTAAACGACAACTTGACAACAAATAAACAAACAAACAAACAATCAAAGATTACAAAGGCAGCTACTACACACGCTAAAAAAAAAAAAAATTACCCCTCAAGCTAATTATCGACATATGAGTTGTCAAAAGGGCATTCTTGACTTTTTATTTTTCTTTTGGACATTTAACTGGGGCAGGCAAGTTTTGAGACATCCTTGCTAGATCTGTTGTATTTCATGTGGCTCTTGACCAGCTGTCCCGCTGCAATTGCAGACATCAGCGAAAGTTCTCCGGCGAGCACTGAACCGGCGACAATGGTGGCCAATTTTCTAGAGTTTGAACCGGGTGAGTCTCTGCTTGCACCCCTCACACCCAGCAGGTTCAGGCAGGCTGCTTGTGATGCAAGCTGGGTTCCTCCTCCAACTGTTCCTACCTGAAAAAGTTAATTAAAACGAGATTAGTGGGGTTCGTTAGGTGTCAATTAAGCACTAATTATAGTTGTATTGTACCTCAATGGAAGGCATAGTGACGGAAACATGAAGGTCCTTGCCGTCGTTTATGGCTTCCATCATGGTGATGCAGTGAGAGCTCTCAACATTCTGAGCTGGATCCTGGCCGGTGGCGATATAGATCGCAGCGACAATGTTGCTGGCGTGCGCATTGAACCCACCAAGAGCACCGGCCATGGCAGAACCAGTAAGGTTCTTAAGCATGTTGAGCTCCACCAAGGCAGCCACATTTGTCTTCAGTACCTTCCTCACCACCTCTTCCTTGATCACCGCCTCACACACTACTGACTTTCCTCTCCCTTCTATCCAATTCACCGCCGCCGGTTTCTTGTCGGAGCAGAAGTTTCCTGAGCAGTCCGGATCAAACACAAACCAAATCAACGTAATTGATACAGTAAATATATACAACAATGTTCTATTGTCGAATTTATGTTGATATCCAATCACATATTCAAATATGACGATGTAAACATCTTATGTTATCAAACCAAGATAACATTTTCTATACGCAAAAAGAATATTTGCATGATCAAATCGAAAACCTACCTTGAATTAATTAGGTGTCGATGTAATATTGTAATTTGTATACCTTGGTAATTTTTAACGAATGAGGATCCTCTTCGAATCCTCTTCGTGAGGACCTGAGATCCAATCGTATTCGTTCATCGTATACCGTACGGTCATAAATCATTGTAAATTTTTTTATTTAAAATTGAATATAAACAGCATCTGACAAAAACTAATTGCACGATGTACAATAAACATACACAATTAGGGGATCCCTGGGATCCTCACAAAGAGAATCTGGAGAGGATCCTCGTTCATTTTTAACTTACATTATCATGTGAGTATATCACTCATTGTTATCACCAAGGTATATCCAGTGTTTAAAATATTGGTATCATTGAAAATATTTATATACAAATTTGTGGATATGTCGATATCAATAGCATTTGACTTCGATGGAAATGATAGAAATTTGTTTAAAAACTAAAAATTTAAAATGAAACTTTAGGAATTATCAAACACTGATTTAAACGAATATAAAAATTTCTCCAATATTTACTTGATATGTCGAAAATATCGAGAAATATGTTGAGTTTAGCCAAAATTTAAAAAAAATCTCATATATGGGACCGTATCAAAAAATTGTCAAAACACAGTATATATCTACTACTCATCACAAAATACCTTCTTGGCGACATACAACTTCCAATAACATGTGAGAATCTCCCAAAACGAAGACTCAAATGCAAATTATGGACAAAAAGAAGAGGTAGAGAAAGATTAATCAAGTAACTAATACCAGAGATGCCAATAATATCCATGTCAGGGAAGTCGCTTTGGAGGAAATCTAGAACGTTTTGGACGCCTTTGGAGACCATGTTCATCCCCATAGCATCTCCAGTGCTGCAAGTAAACCTCATGTACACATTCTTCCCCGCTATCGAGCATTGAATCCTCTGAAGCTTCGCAAATCTACTTGATCTGAACAGTGCATATGCAGTCAAGTCAACAAACAGAATTCCAAATTATTAATTTTTATTGTATCACAAATTAATAGATAATTAATCATTAACTCTCCACTTAAAAACAATATGGTAATTGTGTGATTATCTATGAAGAATAAAGTTAACCAACTTTTAGTTAGTAACAAGATCATTTTTCAAACATTCTTCCTCTCCCTCTCGCCAAAAATAATACAAAAGTCGCCCTCCGTGCACATGCAATGCCCGAAATAAAAGGGATTGACTTCGGCTTCGGAAATAACAAAAACCAAAAAATATAAGTTAGGTGAGTTGGCAAGGAAATACTTTTCAGTGTGCCGACACACGGTTCTATACATCAAGTATAATAATATAATTAGTTTAGAATTATTTGGAAACTTGAAAAAAAAAAAAAATCAACCAATTATATATGTTATGAAACTTAATATTCCAATGTGTTTTTCCGGCATAATAAAACAATTTCTATTGTTAAGGGTGTGTGTGATCCTCTCTTGTCTCTTGTGTAGTCGAGTTTGAATCTTTCTTTTGTTAAGTCAGAATAATCTATAAAAAAAAAATAAAAAAAATTTAAATCTATAATCCTTTATAATATCATTTTGCAAAATAAAAGAGTAAAAGACTCACCAACTTGTGTTAAGGGACGAAAATTCAATTTAAAAAAAATTAAAATACGAAATATTGCAGGTGAAATTCGAATTATTTCAAAAAACAAAAAGACCAAAGCGGAAGAAATGGTGAAGATAACCCGTCCGTACCGGTTGAAAACGACGGCAAGGGTATCAAAGTTGAGCGGGTCCTCAACAAAGAACTTGAGTTCGGCAGCTCTGGCGGCTGAGCTGAAACGGACAACGGGAGCTCGGGTCATACCGTCCTTGAGAACCACGCTGCTGGCCCCGCCGGACATGTGGATGGCCTTGCATCCCCTATTGGTACTGGCCACCAAGCACCCCTCCGTGGTCGCCATCGGCACCGTGTACTCCTCCCCGTCGATCAGCAGCGGCCCCGCCACTCCCACCGGGATCTGCACGTACCCCACCGGCATCTCGCAGCATTGCCCCAGTATCGCCTCGTAGTCGAACCCTTCCAGCGGGAGGCCATCCAGCGAACTACCGGTCGTCCGCTGCAGGGCCTCGCGCCGTATCGCAGCCGCCCTCCGGCAGTCTCCGAGGGTGGACTCGAGAGAGTACGAAGGCGTAGTTCCATCGACGACAGACTTGATGATTTTCTCGTCATCGGCTGACAACGCCGGCGACTTGTCCGAGGCGGAGGTGGCGTATGAGGGGAGTGCGGTGAAATTGACAGAACTATTTTGCCGGACTACGACGTCGTCGTTCCAGGGGCCGTGGGCGGCACGGTTGTTGGGGGAGACGAAGGACTGGACGAAGTCAATGCCGAAGAAGCCGAGGAGGTAGATGATGGAGGCGAACAGGGAGAAGAGGGCGGCGAGCTCGGACAGCGTGACGACGTGCAGCGGCGTGGAGCTGCGGATCTTCTCGCGCCACCGGTTGAGGAGGAAGTAGGCGACGGCGAAGAAGAGCGTGAAGAAGAGGCCATTGGTGAGGTAAAGCGGGAGGGGAAGCGCATCGGAGGCCTTGAGCAGCTGGTTGTCGGATTTAATGGGTTCGCCGGCTGCAGAGGCAGTTGGGGGTGGCCGGCGAACGGCCATTATCAGAGAGAGAAATAAGGGGGAAATAAGTAATTAAGGAATTAATTAGGCTAAGTAAAAGAAAAGTGAGGGATTAGAGGTGGTGGTTTATTTAATTAATTTGGATTTTGTTAGGGGAGTTTGCTAATAAATGAGCTGGAATGGGGCAAAAGCGGAGAATTTGGACCCGTTTTTATAGGAAGAGGAGAGGAGGGCGTGAAGAGGTAGTGGGGGGGTCCCACCCCCACAGGAGCTGTGTCGTTACGCGTGTCGGGCTTTGCCTCTACGGATCTGGATCTCATCATGAAATTTTTTTTAGTGTGGCAATCACATTTTGATAAAAATGTTACTATTTAACGTGTTATAATAAAACCAGGTACAAACGTTACAAATTCAAGTAATAATATTAATAAAAATCGATTCAATTTCAAAGGTTAGGGTTTATTGCTTCAGCTCATAAACCAATAAACTCTAAGCTTTTAACAATTGAATCTATTATCACTACAATTATAACCTAATTGGTGGAACTGAAAATCGTAATCGGAATCTAGGTAGCGCGATTAATAATTTATCATTAATTGTTTGTCCACGTGGCGCAAAGTTGATTTTCATATTCGTTAAATTGCGAGCCCCACGATTGCTACATTAGTAGTTATCGATCAAATTGATAGAAAATTTAACAGATGTGTGATATTGCAACGAATTTGTAAATTGATGTATAACATTGCAATGTTTAAAAGATAAAATATGAGTTTATTATGTGATCTAAAATTAAAGTAGTATAGTCACTCAGTACAACGATTTAGTAGTAATTTCTCTTCACTTGGAAGCAAGAGATCTTAAGTTTGAATATCGTGGATGACGAATTCGATACCAAATTAGGTTGGCTATTGTGTGGTTTAACCGAACTCTCTTGCTCTTAATGTAAAAATATCGATGTATTCAAAAAATTAAAGTAGTATAACGTAATTTACCTATAATTTAATTAATTACCATACCAATTATAGTTCCGTTTGAGCTTCGATATACTTTGGGGTTGATCTGGACCCATTTAGCCCGACTCTACTTAGACCACGTAAAGTCATGTCGGGAAGATTCTAAAAAAGGAAAGAGGGAAAAAAAAATAAAATAAAAAAAACAACTAAGCAGCCATATTTCTCAGGGCCTGAGCGATCGAATGATTAGCAACGTCCTTTTGGTGTCAGTCATATTTTCCGGCAAATCACTGCAGGTTTTTACCCTCCGAAATTCCAAATCACCAGCGTTTATCTGATCAAATCCCTTCTGGGTTTTGCTTTTCAATCCTCGAATCGAATTGGGTTAATTTCAATTTCAAATTTTTGATTTGATCCAATCTCTAATTTCAATTCTCTGAAAGCTCTGTTTCTGTCTTCGACTTTTCAAAACCTTTTCTGTCTCTGTAGAGTCCAGTACTAGGGCTGTTGGCAGTGGGTAGGGTTTTCTGAAAGCAAAAAAGACAGAGAGCAGAAGATCATGGACCTCAACGCCTTCTGGGTCCACGTGTCTGTCACGTGACTCTGAGAATTTCCCTTTTGTTTCAGTCGTCGTCTTCCCTGATCCTCTCTCTCTCTCTCTCTCTCTCTCTCTCTCTCTCTCTCTATGTTTGTGTGTATATGGCTTACCAGCAGCAGCAACAGCAAGGAGGGGCTCAGCTGTTCAATTCCCCGTTCGGGGACACGACGTTGACGAAGGTGTTCGTGGGGGGATTGGCCTGGGAGACCCAGAGCGACACTCTACGGCGTCACTTCGAGCAGTTCGGCGACATCTTTGAGGCTGTCGTTATCACCGATAAGAACACCGGCCGATCCAAAGGCTATGGCTTTGTCAGTACTCAATAACCCATCTCTCTCATTTTCCCAACATATGAAACAATCAATCAAATTTTGATAAATTTGAGATTAATCAGCTTTTTTTGGTTTCTGGTTTGTTTTTGTTTGGAGGGTTTAGGTCACATTTCGTGAATCTGAATCTGCAAGAAGGGCTTGCTTGGATCCCAATCCTGTGATCGATGGCCGCAGAGCTAACTGCAATCTTGCTTCTCTGGGTCGTCCCCGCCAACCTTTCCTTTTTCATGGTATATTTTTATCTATTTCTCGTTGTGTTTTTTGTTTTCCTTGCATTTTTGTTCTGCTGGGTACTTAGGAACTGCGTTTCTAATGCTGGATTTGCAATCGAATTGTTGCTTTGGTTGATTGGATTGCAGGGCAAGTGAGATCACCAGCTCCAATCCTCGGGCGCGTGCAGCCGCATAGAGCTGCTTACATGGGGAGCCCCCACCCTGCTTACCACCACCCTATTCCTCATGGTTACCAGCCCGGGTTTGTGTACCCGTCTTATGGGTGAGTTTTAAACTTAGAAAGCTCTTGACTTTAGATGTTCATCTCAAGCTTACCGGTTGAGGCCATTTGGGTGTTGGGTGTTGGGTGCTGGGTGTTGGAGCTTATGCAATTTGTCTTGACTGCAAGAGGCAAAATTTCATTCCAGAACACACAACAACTATCTGATCGAGTGTCTTTTCTCGCCAACCATTTCCTCAGCATTCAAATTTTTGAAATTTGAGCTATTAAGTAATCGTTTTTGAGTACCTAAGACTGAAACCTTAGCTAGCGAAGGTCATTTTACAGGTGATAATAAAAATTGTGTATTTGGGGGAGGCTTTTTGTCAAAGTGTGTTTATCGTTTATCGTATGTTGAAGGTTGGGTGGGATATGCTTGACTACATAGAAACTTACTAGCATTAAGCTGTGCAAAACCATGGAATCACATTGTAATGAAAATCTTATTTAGTTTGCTTTGTAGCTTTATGCATGTGCTGTAGTATTTCATCAAGCGTTTTATGTTATAGTAGTACTCCCATTGTTTTGTGGACACTTAACTGGTGCCCATCTTTGAAAAGCTTGAGAGGAAGCTTGGGTTCCTTACGTTGTTGAAATTCCATGTGGCTGTATGATCTCAAGAGGTTCAAGAATTTCTGTTTTGCAGGTACACAGGATATGGACCTGAATTTGTCTACCCACAGGTCAATACTTAATATGTCATTACACAGCTTTTATTTGCGATTTTAAAGAGTAAAAGAACAATGCTTGATTGTTCAAAAGCTAACTAAGCCGGTTACCAACTTTTGTTCGTCAACTTTCGCCAGGGTGCCTACAGTCCTTACATGACTCAGCAGCAATACCTTCAGATATATGGGGTACCAGGCACAGTTAACCCTGGCGTATATTCATATGGACAATTCGGTCAGTCACTCCCTGGAAACCAGGGATATGCAACAGTTCAAAACTATGGAGTTCCAGGTCATCATGTAATGCAATTCAGTGGGGCCAATGTCGGTGCAGCATCCCCAGCTGCCATTCCAACGATTCAAACACCATATCCTGCAGGCAACATTCTCTTCCTAAAACCCTTCTTCCCATTTACAAGAATGATCACCTTCATTGCAATTTATTAACATGTTATCCTGCAGGCAACTTTCTGATGCTAAAATGTTTATGAGCCGATCAGATAAATGTTCCAAGTACCACAATTTTTTTTTTTTATAAGATCAATTACCACATATGAAAGTCGCGTAATGAGACTTTCTCTTAAAAAAAATCTTTTTTTTTTTTCCTTGATTTATGGTAACTCATTTTGCATGCTATGCCTGCGCACCTGATTTCAGCATTGCCGCACTGATGGAAGTTGGCAAGAAGAGATGTGCAGTTATAATAATTCAAGTCTATAGTCGGTGATTCTGGTTTGCTGGTTTTTTCAGGTATAGTTGCACCAGCTCCAGGACAGACGCAGTATATGCTTCCTACTAATTCTCCTCAATTCACCAGTGGTTCCGATCAAACTGCAGGTTGAGTGGTAAATCAGAAAGGTCACTTCTGGAGGTAGAGATTGTCACCTTGTCCACCTTTTTATTAAACATATCTGCATAATTACACTGGAAATCCGTCTTTGTCGGGGATGCAGGTAATCCTTATTGCAGCAGGACTATGAGAAGCTACTGCTACCTAAGTGGCAGCCTCTAAATCTAGCCTTGCAAGTTATTATCTTTACTTTCTAGAGGTGACACCTGTTTTCCCTTATAAAGTACGATTTTACTCGTAGCATAGAATCGTAGCTTATGACAAATTCCAATTTAAATCGAACCTCTGTGGGAAATTTTTGCATTGCAACACGGGTAGTTGTGTTTGGAATAGATAATGATGCTTTAGAACTGTTTGACCTGAGATTCTTTTACTTTTAGCTTTATTATTACGTGAGCTTCTATCGTAGTGCCATTTCACCATATCCGTGATGAGAGATAGTGACACATGTGTGTATACACCCTCGATTTCCCCCTTTTATTTATTTTTTGAATCTAGCAACTTCCCAACTATGTGGAATTTTAGTCACATCTGAAACAGGGCTTTTTTCTATGACCAGGAAATCAGGGATCAAAGCACATGGGACCGAATACTAGTATATACATACATACATACATATATATATATATAGCATTGTATCAAGTCCCTCGTTTTTTATTAAATTTATTTTCTGGTTTATAAATTCTTGTGATGATATGTGATATGTTTAACTAATGCAGGTCATTCTTGGTGGTCATCGGAGATACTTCAAAGTCAGCTGTTAGATGTTAAAGAGGGTGGAAGAGCATCATGGGTTGTTGCTTTTTTCACCTGGTGGTGTCTGTAAAATATGCCGTCGCAGTGTCATGTGGCTCAAAGCCGCTTGGCACGATATTATGGGTCATTGCGTGTTTGCCGGAAATATGGTTTTCCGGCAGACGCAGCGTAATAAGACTGTAACTGTGTAAATAACCCTAAACTTTCTCCTGTATCAAAGAAAGAATCAATTCGATTCGTTTCATGGACTCTGGACCCAACATATGGGTTCACAGTCATTGTCAAGTCTCACTCATTGTATTTACCACAAAAAAAAAAAACAAAAAAATCATTGTTCAAATTTGAATCTCTCTATTCAATTGGCGCTTCTTCATTTTCCTTTGGGTAATATTGAGGGAGTCTTAATGAAACATTCATGGTACTGTTCATATTTAACGTTAAGGATATTTTTACTCTAAAATATCACTCCTGGTACTTTCACTTACATCTTTTTGTCCTTTTGGTTAAAGTTTTCAAGTTATTTTCATTAGTTTTTCTTAATATTATTGAAGCTTCAGCTTCTTCTTCCTCTTTATACAATTTCGTTTGATTATTTATTGGTGTGAGATTAATATAAATGATATCTGTGTTTGCGGAAGAAAATCTGTCGTCTAAATGTTTTTGCATGTGATTGGCACACCTTCATGTTATATGGCTAGATGGTAACACTAATTTAGATCAGAACTCGGAATTTTTTGAATCTCTATATGCACTCTACTTTCTATTCAATCTTTTCAAAAATATTTGGATTCGAAATCAAAATTTTAATGCAGAACTTCCAATCTAACTTGCACTCTTAGCGGAAACAAAAGGGATGTAACAAATGGGACGTGTGAAAATCATTTATCGAGGGTTGATGGTGTACCTAACAAAATCTTGGGTGTGAGTTAGTAGAATCCCTAAACCAAAAGCTTACTGTAATAAGGCCCAATATTCCCAACTGAACACCGATGAAATTGAGAATATGTAGCTACGTTAACGCAACAACTAACAAGCATACATTGGTTCAACTACTCACTGATGGTTGTAGCTTCTGCGGTGTCTGCGGCGTGACAATGATCGGACTTGACCTTGGTTCAACTACTTTCACTGATGCTTGTAGCTTCTGCGGTTTCCGCGGGTGCTGGTGGTCGGAATTGACCAGCGATAACTCGTATTTCGGATTTATGTACAGTTTCTTGCAAACTCACAGATCGAGTTAACCAAGTAGGACACATTTAATCAACCATTGCAACATTTTTTTGCATCTGTAAACATAATCATTGCCAGTAAGGGTTCCAAGATTTGGGATAACAAGGATGGATCGTGAGAAATTCGAACTCGGGCAGGAGAACAGTGCTCCATAATGTTACATAACACAACCAAAAAATAACTAGAAGCTGAACTCTACCACTACACATCTCACTCATCATCAGCTCACCGCATTCCCCCGACGACGGGGCTAAATGTGGCCAGCACAATCTGTTTGTACAAACAATACAGTTTTCACGCTTCTTTCATAAATGAGAGGGGAAAGGGTTACGCGTTTTAGTTTACAGAGACTCCGGACTTGTGGACGGTCTAATTCTTGAAGGCATCCGCATGGGCTGTTTTATTGCACCACCAAATGTACTATGTAAGGAATTCTTTGGTGTGATTGACATTTTGTTCAACGCGGAGTCAAATTCATCGAGATCATAATGCTGTTGCAAAATCGCATAATCCATTCCGTCCACATTTTCATCCGCGACAGCGTCACCTATGTCTTCATCACTGGAATCTTCGTCATCGTCATACGTAGGATGAACCATCGACCAGAAAATGAACTTCGGCCGGATGTACCTTTGGATAAAGGAAAAACTAGTGTCAGCAAAGCTTTCAAAACAGGTTTTAAGCATTTGAATCTTACGGCTAACAAAACTTTCCTTTTTGACCTCGAAAGTTCAAAGTTAATACAAACCTGTCACTTTTCTTCAGCAAGCACGGGTCAAATGGGAAGAACATGTCTAGCCTTTCCCTCCCACCAAATTCCTTTGAAAGTTCTGATTCCAGATAGTCATCGAAATCGAATTTGTCAAGTGTCATGAATAAACCAGCTGCTTTTGATTGCCGTAGAAACTCGTTTACTATGGAAGGCAGACACACCTTTCAAAATCGAGAACAAAATTAAGCACAATGATGCAATAGTTTTAGACATTAAAGCATCCTTCTCGAATGGTATGAAAGAGAATCAAAGATCGAAAGAATAGAAAGATAAACGAAATAATTATAATGTAGCCCATTTTTGTACAGGGTGGAACTACATGTAAACGGTCCTCACCTGCAGCGGGCTCAATTTATTATTCAAAACAGACTCCAAAGGCAGACGAAGAAGCCATGACTTCAGCAGAGGAACATCCATCATTGACCTCATTCGGAAGCAAAGCAAATACATGATGGCCTGTTGGACGAGTAAATCGGCATCAATGGAATTATACAAGTACATAAATTTGATAGTGCAAAACATAGATATAACATTTAAGTAACTTAAGCATAGAAGCAAATGAATCACATGATGCAACTAATAGCATAGGGAAAATTGCAGTTTGAATGTCCAAAAGTTGCGAACTTAGTTCCAGAACTAGATATGGAATCTTCCCTCAGATAGTGTAGAGATAAGACTGAGTGTCAACAAAAGTTTGACTTGGCAATTCGATATTTAATAAACCAAAAAACCAAATTTCAAAACAAAAAGATATTACAATATGAAATTCACTTGATTGAACAGGTTGTTTACACTCTTCACATGATATCTTGAAAACCAAGTAATCTGAAATATTTATTATTATGCCTGAAGAACTGATTCCAAAGTGAAACAAAACAAACCTGACATCCTGAATAAAACACTCTATGAGCTTCCGGATTTACTTTGTCATTCTGCGTTTTGACATATTTACAGCACCAATCCACCAACCTGGAACCAGAGTAACATATGACAACAGCGTTAGACAAATTCCTTCTGTATTTCCCTTCTTATGTCTCATTGCTGAGTCATTGTAAAAAAGGAGATTACATGGGGCTATTGGTTTGAACACAACCTTTCCAAAGTGTTAGCAATCACAGAAGCCGACAGAAACTTCGCACGAGACAAATAACTAGCAAGATAAGAAACGGCACTCATTCTGCACAAAACCAAAAAGAGAAATCAGTACTATAAACGATGCGTGAAACATCTAAAATCCAAAACTATGATATTCAGAATGTTCTAGTTTGCCATAATATTACATAGATGATTCAAGAAGCTTAAGATACTCTCCTTGTAAACACACACCAAAAGAAAATAAGAAAAAATAAATTGGAAAAAAAAATGGTATGTGAGAGAACCTGTGCAACAGATGGCATCCACCACAGTGATTTAATAAAACAAAATATGTTAAACCATATAAATAGCCTCCCAGGTTTTCCAACGTTTCTCTTAAGATAAGCAGTGATTACATGTGGGTTAATTAATGGGCATGTCAAAAATGCCTGGACATGCCTCATATATATCTAACCTATGTTGTATCATAATGGGCACTGATGCAAGTACAGATATTCATTACAAAAGTTTCAAATCCTACAAGCTGCACCCAAAGGTACGAAAGTACAAATGTGATAGATAGCAATTACAGAAAATCACTAACAAAAATGATATAGATGATAAAAAAAAAAGATTATATGTTTACATCCAGTTTAAGTTTTAAGGACAAGTGTAAAAGCAACTCGTGATATGAATACTATACCCCAGTTTACGAACTAAGAAGTAAAAACAAAGAATACCTGACTATACACAAGTAAGGGCAAGCATATTACCTGAGAAGTGGGGGGTTGGTACTGCAGAAAAAAGTATTTTCAAGCATCAAAGCAAATGTCACGCCACAATTTCCAGGATCTAGAGAACATGCATAGAAGATCACAAACTGCAATAAGAAAAAAAAGCAAGTTAATAAGGGGATAGACAAACCGGTAGATATACGAAGAGGAATAAAGGAAAAAACAAAATAATGAATTAAGAAAACAGATATGGAAAATTTTATAAATTACCTGGGCAAACTTCGATTTGTATGCAGTCAAAACAGTCCTCTTAAATGACTCCAGTAGAGTTTCAAAGACCTAAACACGCCATATACATAGGAATTAAAATGTGAAGAATGGAGACAGTCATATTGAGCATGTCAACCTCAAAATCAAAGAGTTGAAAGATACCTCGATCAAACGGCCACCAACTTCACAAGACTCAAGATGCTCAAAAGTTAACACCAACAAGCTATCTAATTTTTCGGCAAATGAATTACTTCCTGAAACCTTCGTACTTAATTTTCTTGCAATCTGTATAAATAACTTGTAATCACTATATAATGAAGGTTTAAAATCATCATGAACAATACGGAAGAACAAGATTGATGTGAGAACCAAAACAAATATCAATAAACTCAGGGAAAACTGCAAAGTAGCAACTATGCTTCATATTCTGTCTCACCCTCCTCTCTTCCCCATTGTCTCTTTCTCCTTGAATTTTGAACACCTATTTCCCTCTTGCATGCTAAGTTCTATCAACTCGTTGTCAGACATTGCATTAATTAATACTACCATCAAGAGGGTTTCAACTTGTTGCCTTATATATCCCCGGCACCTCACAAAATAAAATCATAAAGAAATTCAAGGGTTGTATGCATGGGGTGTTCAATGTGGATAAGAGTAATCAAACTCAATCATACCTCACTATCATCATTCAGATCATCATCCATAGACTCGTGTACAGCTTCTAGCTCCATCTCAAATATTCCTTTACTTGAGTCATCTTCTATGTCATCCCATCCAATCTCCACCTGTAGGAAGCCACTTCATAATGTTTGTCATGAAAAAAAAATTAAAACAATTATTCCATTCAAATGTTAATTTCAATTTCAATTGAATATACATACGTCCAAGTCTAGCAGCAATTCCACCACGCCAGTTAGCATTGGGATCCGAACTACTTCACCAAGAGTGCCACTCTCCAACTTTAGCATGTTCTCTACGTACATCACAACACTAAGAGTCTACAAGAGCAATATGGCATATCATATATTTATCAATTTAGAGAACACTGGGATGGTAAGCAATGCAGACATCCAAAAGGAAAAAAAATAGAAACATATTCAATTATTAATCACAGTTGGAGGGAAAAGCCATCATTATGAAGAAGAAACGATATGATACAAAGCTATGTACAATGAAACATTGGCCTAAACAATCATGGCCACTTTGAAAACATCTGTCGCTTATGTATATATACCATACGAAAGCTAACAAAGATTGCAGAGGATATCTTTTTGAGTGAACAACACTTTATTACTAGATGGGTACGTGCCGTGCAGAATTAACTTACATTTATATCATGAAAACGATATTGTGGTGTTGCAGCTAAAACAATTGGCACCAATCTCGCAGGGGAAAGTGGTAGCATATCAGCAATATCATTCAGAGCTGAATGCACGCGAGATAAAACTTGGTCCTTTTTTATAAGACCGCGTGGCAGCTGGAAACTTTTAGGTGGAAAGAATTGCTTTGTGAGCATCGCCAAACACTCATCTACAAACTTCCCGCTGGAAGCAGCCTGTGCCACCATGAAGCAAAAAAAATCTAAAATTTCTGCCAACTTGTTCAAAAAGCTTTAAACTTTGACAAAGTAGAAACATGTAAAACCCACATACCAACGAAATAATGAAATGAATCACCGCATCCATCACCTGAGGCCTCTGCGTCCACAAGTTCATCCCAAAAATCTGAAACATTTTCGCAATCGATTATTAATAAAAAAAAACCACCAAGGATTGGATACATACAGCGAGACAAAAGCAAAAAAAATTATACTAACAACTTACAGCAGCAAGAAGTAGATTGTGTAGATCATGATCTATACAAGAAACTGCTCTAGATAGTGCCTCCAAAGTCGTCTGCCAAGCAATAAACCGAAAAATTTAAAACTTAGGCAAAACAAATTTAATTGAAACCAAATTAATTGAATATACTGTAAGCACATACCACCGAGGCAATAAACCAAAAAAAAAAAAAAAAATTCAAAACTCGGATAAAACCAATTCAACTAGAAATAAATTAATTGATTAACAACATACCACAAGAAAAGCCTCCTCATCGGCGCCGTGCCCTCCGTCGTGGCTCACAACCGAAATGAGCCGTTCGTAGTCCTTGTTTTCAGCCAGAGCCTAAACAATTCAAATCAAACTTGTTAAAATTAACATCCATACCAAAACAATCAAGGGCAAGTTCACTAAAACCCTAAACTGGTGCAAGAAATCCACAGTTGGGGAATCGGAATCCTTACCGCTGGTGAACCTGAAGTCACTGAGCAAAGAATATCCCTGATGTGATCGACGAGGTCGGAATCGGTGAAATCTCCGTCCTCCGCCATCTCATCCAAAGCCGCCTCGTTGTTCCTCAACTCGACGCCCATGGTTGTCTCGCCCTACGGATCCTCCTGCAAAGAATTTCAGTGAGGATGTCCTAGGCGTCGGTGTTTCGGTTCAGCTGGGATAGCCGGCCGAGGTGGGTACGAGAATTGGGTGGCCAGTCGTCTTCTTTGCTGGAGCTGCTGCGGCTATGGAGATTTGGTTGTTGAGTGTTGTGTGCGGTGCGGCCGCCGAGTGTTTGGAAGAATGGAAAAACCCCAAAAACCAGGGTTTTCAAGAAGCGGCTGCCTCTTTTTTGTATGTATTTATATAGGTACCGAATTCGCTTGGTCAGAATCCCTCTCCTTTTTAAACGCGGGAGACTGCTTTTTTTTTTTTTTTTTTTTTACTTTTTTTTTTCTTTTTTGCTATTTCCCTAATTACATTTCTTTTTTTTTTTAGAACGCATGTCGACACATGTTTGATCGCATAATTTATTTAACAGTTTAAATTGAGGGATTGGTGATCGTTGAATCAAATGTAATTATATTGTTCGTAGATCAATAGTGGTAATGGATTAAATGTAATTGTTAAATATGAATTGACGCTAAAAAAATTGAGATATGTGTTTCAAAGTATGTATTAAGAAAAAAAATTTGAACTCAAAACATGAGTAATTAAAGTAAGTGTACGATACAACTAAGTGGGAGGTAGAGAGTAGTGTTTAAAATATCAGTATTAATAGAAATATCGATAGGCAAATTTGTGGAAATACCGATGGATATATCGTATATCTATATTGATTGCCTTCAATGGAAATAATGGAAATTTGCTCAAAAACATGGAAATTTTAAATTTTTTTTTAGAAAATATCATATGAAGCCACACACACACATATGAATCAAGAATTATTTATTAGATATAGTGTAAACAATAAGTATGTGATATGTGAGAAGAAGAACTTCCTTATAATGACAAGTAATAAAATAAAGCATTTCACTAGAAAGAATAATATTATACATAACTTAATTAAAATTTTCATAATGAAAGCAGCACATGTGACGACCCGTTCGTAAAATCATGCTTTTAAAATTTGTAAAAACATAAAATTAGGGACAGATCGTCACAGCACAAGTTTTATTGAAGTCAACTAATACCATAAAGAAATAAATTGAAAAATAAAGAATGCATAGGCTCATGGATATTTCTTGCAAACTTTTTGCAAATTGTCTTCAAACATTGGATATTTCCTGAAAATATCAAAATTATCGAGGAGATTAATTGGTTTCCGAAAATATTGTGGATATGGGGTGATGTTTAGACTTCACCCCCTCTTTCCATATTGTTCTTTGAATTTTTGGATATTTCCGTAGAAATATCGAGCATATCCAAGATATTTCAAACACTGGTAGAGAGCAAGGTAAGCAATAAAAAAAATTTGAAATTATAGGAATAAAATATAAAATAAAAAAATGGTTAAAATCATTTGATAGAAAAATGAGGGCAAAGAGAAGGATTGTAAATAATAGTTTATTAGCTTTAGAAACAACATTATTTAAAACTTATCCCTGAGTTTCACTAAACCACAAAGACAAAACAAGCAAAATTGTTAAAAAAATATAGAACACGACGTCATTCAAATCAACTTTCTTACAAGGACATTTCTTTCTCATGTCCCACGGCTCTACAACTGCGGACTTGAAGCCTCTAAAAATATCTTACACAATGGTGAGCTTGGAACCACGCTGGTTCCTTTGTGTCTCCACCCATGCACTGTCTGTATATAATAAAAAATTTGATTACATTTGTATTTCAAGCCCAAAATATAACTTAGGGAAAACTTTAGTAATGCCACAAAAGTTTGATCCTCGTTCCATCTTGCCCTCCGACAAAGTTTTGAATTCGTGCATGTATTCTATTAACACAGTTGTGCTACTATTTTTTGTTAATTTTATTCTGTTTAATGGGCATAATTAACTTTTAAAACATATATGTCAACAAATATATATTTACAAGCAAAATGAGTAAATATTTGGAATTCTAGTCATTAAGGGCTCGTTTGAAAGTACTTTTAAAATGACTAAAATTACTTTTGGTGAAAATATTTTTGAAACAAATCTTTAGTAAAAATACAGGTGAAGTTTTAAAAAACACTTTAAGTGCTTCCTACAAAAAACATATGCTTGTTTAAAAAAACACTTAATGTGCTTTTGGAATCCAAAATTAATTCACAAAAAATCGTTTTCAGTTATTTTAAAAGTATTTACAAACGAGCTCTAAGTCGAGAGAAGTTTAAATGAATTGAATAACTGATAAATTCAAATTGAAAATTCAAGGAAGAAGGTGAATAAAAGCGTATAATTCGTGAGGGTTGCTAAATATTTGCCTAAAAGTACCATTTGCATTTGAGGACAAAAGTGAAATTAGCGTTTATTCCAGGAAATTTATAATAAAATGGTTCTGGGCTTCTTGCACATGGGCCATAAGAATCTATTTCCGGGCGAAGGGCTGGGCCCATAACAAAAGAGTAGCTTGAGCTCGAGTGGCCCAAACCTGTCAAAAGTCGTAGGTGAGCCCCAAGTCCAATTATTTTAGCCCAAGTGAACTATTTGATTGATTTGTTACTAAATTGTAATGTTTTTTTTTTTTTTTATAGATCGATATTTTTACACTAAGAAGACGGGGAGTTTGGGTAAGTTACACAATGGGCAGCCTAGTTTGGTATTGAATTCGCCATCCACGAGATTTGAACCTAAGACCTCTTATTTTCAAGTAAAAATGAATACCACCTGTTCATAATACTGAATGACACCAAATTGTAACGTTGAAACAAGGTAAATGAGATTTTACTGAAACAAGATAAATGTGATTATTTCACAAATTAATTTTTTTGCAATGGAAGTCAAAACAATCATCATGCATTCTCCCGACGTAGGATTCAGCACTTATAAGCAATGGAACCATGTTGCGGATAAATTAGCTGGAATTGGTCCTTCCTTGGAGTGTGGACCCACTGTCATATTTTTCAGGCTCCTCCCGATGATTTTGGTCGTTTAGCTCAGGAAGATCTATGGGGTTACTGGACCCAAATTTGTTTATTAGTTTTGTGTTTTGTGGTTGTAGGCATTTCTTTGTATATATGAGAACGTGAAGATAAAAGAATTCCGTATTGGTAAAAAGATAAGTCTTGTAAAGGTTTACAAGAGGTTAGGTTACTCCTCACATTGGTTATATGGTAGAACCTCAACTTTCTTCAGTATAAAAGAACAATAATCATGCATCCTACCCAACGGAAAAAGAAGAAAAAAAAGAGCAGAACATCTATTTTAGAATACAAATATAACAACTCTAAAAAGCGATACTATTTACATTAGGGAGATGATGATTGAGCTAAGCCTTACAATGAGCTAGTAATAATATGATTCAAATTCGTCTTTGGCAATAATCGAATTTAAAACATTTCACTTACAAATGAAGAGGAATATTCCTATATCGTATTACTAAATGACAACAACTCTCAAATTTAAATATTAATGTAACTCCTATCGTCTTAAATAATCCCTAATGCCTTACCTATTTGCTAGGCAACCACGCACCCCCTTATTGCCATCAGATAGTAATTGTGACATGCGCACCAAGTTGTTGCGGAAGATTTCCTTTCTACATAACACAAAAAAGAACGCAAATGAAAAGTAGCAACGCTGAGAAGGTTATCTATATCTAAGACATCACGATGCCAGTTTCTCAAAATTTGCATCCACATCATGTACATTAAACTCATCAGATAACAATGCTGTCACTGTTATTCCATGAGGGAGATATCCTAGTGTCATAGTCAACAAGTGAAAAAGTTGAAGTACACGTTGGACAAGAGAAAAGCACATCATGTGATCGAGTAATAGGGATAAAGTTCTCACACGCTATGATAGTGGCAGTTCCTAGAAAGTCAATCCATCCATCCATCCGTTCATCATCCATCATCCCATACATCCTCCATGCAATAGCAAAAAACCATCACCATAAAGTTAAGAGTTAGATTGTCTGCCTTCTTGTTTAGGTGTTCTTTTTATTTCCTTCTATTTTATACGATCACGATTAAACCATGTCAATATTTTATATTAATTATTTTATAAAGATAATAAGATAAAAAATAATAGGAATATAAAATGTTAACGTGGCTTAACCGTGACCGCACATATAGAAAAAGATGGAAAGGGTACCCAAACAGGAGGGCAGACAATTTGCCTGTATAAAGTTAGCCCCCAAAGGTTTAGCTGGTAGAGTAGATGCACAAAAAACAGTTGGCAAGCAAGACAAAGCTAAGAAGATTATTTATTTAAACTATTCTTTGTAAAGGGTTTTTAATTCAAAATGGTATCAGAGTCTGTCAAACTCTTCATCTTGATCTCTAAAATTTAAAATCGATAAAAGTAAAAATTGTCCACCATTAATCATTTTGATCATTTTGTGAGAAATCTTTATTAAATTGAGAGTAATTTTGTTAAATCAATCTCTCTCCTTGAACGGTGGTTTCTTCAATTTAACGAAAAAATTTTCACAGAATAACCAAAATGATTAACAATGAAAAATCTCATGGACCATTTTTATTGATTTTAAATCTCAAAACCAAACTGATGTTATGATAGTTTCAAGCACTATTTTGGCTGAAAAGCCTTTTGTAAATACGTGATAGTTGATTAAATTAGAGAGCTGCTAGACTCACAATATTGTCTTATTTTTCCACACACATTATAATCTTACTTACCTTAAAAAGTAAAAAAATTAAAATATTTTTCCCCACCCACTACTATTCTCAAAATAATCTTGAATATATATACATGTGAAATTATAAATTTGTGCGAATAACAACGCAAGCATACGAATTCAAATGAAAAAGTTTGATGGCAAAAATCTGCGCTAATGCTAGTCGTAGTATAGTAGGCAAAATCAAATATAAATTCAAAAGACAAAAAGGTATGCAAATTGAAATGGAAAACCACAAAGGTAGCCAAATTCAAATGTAAAACTTCGACAACGACAACAACAAATTCAAATACACAGTGAGGCAAATTCAAATGACCCACACCCTCTTCTTCTTCAAGAGAACGTGATCTTCTACTTCTTCCATAGAAACATCATCTTCTACTTCTTCAATGAAAAAGTTATCTTATGAGTCTATTGTTTATTTATTTTTTATTTCTCTGAATGAAAGAGATAGAAAAATGAGTTACGGTTTAAGGTAGACAAATCGTCTATAAATTGAGTGTGAGAGTTATCACGCCCAAGCTTTTGTTTATAAAAAAATAACACAAAAGAGGATAATTAATGTCCTTATCAATCATTTTATGAATGGACAAATTTGTAATTAGAAAATTCATTAAAAGGAAGGTGAAAATATAAGATACTAGAGTAAGAACAACATCACTCTTAAATTATTACTGTGGTGTTGACGAGTACGAATGAGGGTGGGTAGTGTTCTTGAGACTTTGTAGTTTGAGGAACCACCGGACTTGCTTATGGATGTTTTGTTTGAATATTGCCTTTAATTATTGTCCTTATTGTTCATTTGCAGATATGTTTTTTCGTTGTGCTGAACGTTTTTTTTCTTTAGACCAAGTTGAAAGTCTCGACAGGGTTTTTATTGAAACTCTTTATGCACATTATTCTCAGTTTGTACATGTTCTCTTATGATTTAATGAATATCCTTTATTTTTTAAAAGACAAATTATTAGTCACAAATTTACTTTTTTTACAAATATGATTAAAAAAATTTGTCCATCTAGCGATATTCTTACAACGGTTACGGCATGAGCAGCTGCTTTGCAATGCCAGCTGGAAACGGTTGGACGATCCAATTCTAACTCACGTTCCATGAAACAGAAACATGTCCCAACGTGGACACCTGGACACTGCATTTACTGCGCATCCCAACCCAATGGACCCAACCCAATCCGTCAGCCCCACAGGGCATTGCCCAAGGACTCCCATACGACCACCCGTGTACTACCCGCCCTCATAAAATCCAAATGGAAATAACAGTTTTTTATTTTTTTTATTTAAGTAGTTTGCTTGACTGTAATTCTCATACAAGGGGAGTAATTTCTCCAACATTATTTTCTATCGCCACATCGAGCTCATACACACGTATCTCACTAGCGTATCTCCTCTATGTTCCGTAACCATTTAGGGTCTGACTCTCTCTTCTCGATCAATATATTCCCCTAATGTGGGCGGGCTAGAATCCTTATGTCAGGTTGGTTGTTCAAAAGATTTTTTTTCTTTACCCTTTGAATCTTCATATTTTCGAAAGCCCAAACCCATTCTTCTGGATCTTCATTAGTCCTATTTCAGGTGCAAAGCCTATTCTTTTGGCTGCTTATGCTTCATCTTAGAATGATGGCATTTGGGTCGGCTCTATATCGATCTGGGACCTGATCTGTTTATGCTTCAGCCGCTGCTTCAACTGGTTCCAGGTAAAATACAATAATCAACTTTTTTTTCTTAAGAAACTCTGAATTTTAGGTCGAACTCATACAAATGCAATTTTTAAATTTACTGATTCTAATTTAATTTTTTATTTGACTCTAATACTAAATATACGTTACTACCTCATGTTATATTAAAACTGTTTGAGCAGAAAGTTGTTCATCGCGAAAGTGTCGTGCCATACTTCGTATAACCAAAAAGAGAAAATAAGAATGTAACATTATAAAAAGCCTTTTTAAGTACAAAATTAATAATTTATTGATGGGTCAAATTCATACACGAGGGCGGAGCAGCCGTCGGAGATTTCAATTGACGTGTATGCCCCTCGTGTTCGGCTTCTTTTGGACTGGGTGCAGTGACTAGAGAGAGAGTTGAATTATGTGGGTCCTATGGAAAGTAAGTGTAATAAATTACCAGTTTAATTGTTTTCTTAAGGCCTAAACAATGAGATTTTTTTTTATAATGCTAAGCAACACTTGAATAGGATTTTTTTTTAATACTGATAATATATCATCAATAAAAATTAAACACGTTAATTAACATTAGAATAATAATTTAATCATCAACATCTACATCATTTGGTTTACAAAATTTTGTTTATAAATTTTGTTCCTTGCATTACCAGAAATTTTTTAATATGTTAGGATTCGATACACCAAACATCGTAATACAAATTCAAATTTTGATGTACAGGACTATATTTCCAACATACTAAAACTAAGCAACAAAATTTAGTAGTTTCGCACAAAACTAATAACCCAAGTTTAAGAAAAAAAAACATATTAAAGAATAAGGTGCATTTAATATGAACTCGATAAAAATTGGCAACACCACTTATGAAATGTTGCATTGTGGATCACTATGTCTGTTTAACTATCAATTTTTTTTTTTCAAGGACGTGACACTCATGAAGCTCATTTTGCACTAACGTAAATAATAAATTGGTGGAACATAGTATCATGAATACCTTAAAAACGAAAGGTTCTCAAATTGCACCAAACCATTGTGTAAGCAAAAAGGTTAAACCATTACTAGTTCCAAAATAACAATAGCATATTATATTTAACAAATAAGAAGGAAGGACTGTTTACACGCAATTAGCGGAAAATGAAAGTGGTGCTGACTGGTGAAAGCATATCACTATGCATCTTCGAGATTCTAGACTCAACTGATAACCGATCAGCCCATGAGTCGTAATCAAGCTTCACGCTATATACATGCATCAAAATATCATTTTTCCTTTTCAGAAATAATTAGAATCCCAATTTCCATTTTTCTTACATATAAAAAATAAAAAACCGCCAAAGAAGAGAGAGAGAATGGAAACGGCTGGATTTGTGAGACGACGACGGCAGGGTGTCTTGATTTCTTGCCTCAAAATTTCATAACCACCCCCACCTCTCTGCTCTCCACACCCAAAAATCCAATTTTGATTTTTTTTTTCTGAAGCGGAGGAAAATGGAAACGACGGCGGTTGAATCAGTGGACCAAGTGGTGCAAGAGATCATGAGAATTCACAGATCTTTGCCGCCGAGGCCGGCTGTCGACGAGGTGGAAGCGGCGGTGGCGCTGGTTCGGAATGTGGAAATGGCGGAACAGGCCAGGCTCGACGCCATTGCCAGGCAGACCAAGAGCTTGCAAGTTCCGGAAGAGCTGTTCATGGTGCTGCAGGAGATGCAGAGGAACTTGGTCTACTTCAACAGCAAGGAGGAGATGCGGGAGGCCCGTAAGTTGCTCGATCTCGAGAACGTCCATAATCTGTTCGATGATTTGATTCAGAGAGCTTCCACTTGCGTCTCCTCTCCCGATTCCACTTCTTCCTCTTCTGCGGCGGCGAATTTGAGTTCGAGTTCGAATTCCGTTTCTGGGGTCCTTCCTCACCGGCCCTCTCCTTCTTCTTCTTCTGGTTCTGCTGCTGCTGCGGCGTATGTGTTCAACACTGACAGAGAAGGTGTTGCTAAAAGTTCTTCAGCCAGAGTCAGCAGAGACGACAATTTCGTGGTCAGCAAGGCCAAGAAAGCTTTCTACTTGGATGGAATTGGGGCTGGACCTGCTGTTTCTCCAACTCCCCGGATAGTGGATTCGTCTCTCAGGCCGGTTTCCGCTCTCAATTCAACAGGAGGAGGAGGAGGTGGAGTTGGAGGTGGATTTTCGATACACTATACAAATTTATTTTCTTTTTTATTGATATATTTGTTTGAATTGTTTGTTTATTTCTTGGTTTAAATTGTTTTTCGGGGCGCTTTGCTTATTAGGCAATGTGGGTTTTGTTTGTTTGATTTATTGTTTGTGTGTTGGGATTTATAGGTCAAGAGGGTGAGAAATTGAGTCTGATAAAGTTAGCGAGCTTAATTGAAGTGTTTGCAAAGAAAGGCACCGATGATGTTAATCTTCGAAACAAGTTGATGGACCAAATTGAATGGCTGCCTGACTCGATAGGAAAGCTTTCGAGATTGGTCTCCCTTGATTTGTCTGAAAACCGGATTCTGGTCCTCCCAACCACCATTGGAGGTCTTTCCTCCTTGACCAAATTGGATTTGCACTCAAACAGGATTGCTCAGCTGCCCGACACTATTGGAGATCTTCTTAGCCTTGTCTCTCTAGACCTTAGAGCAAACAACTTGACTACTCTGCCGGCTACCTTTGGCCGATTGGTCCATCTTGAAGAGCTCGATTTGAGCTCAAACAGGCTCACTGTGCTTCCTGACACAATTGGGTCCCTTGCTAGCCTCAAGACATTGAATGTTGAGACCAATGATATTGAAGAAATTCCTCATACTATTGGTCATTGTACCTCGCTCAAAGGGCTGCGTGCAGATTATAACCGTCTTAAAGCACTTCCTGAAGCTGTAGGAAAGATTGAGAGCCTGGAGGTTTTGTCTGTGCGTTACAATAACATCAAACAGTTGCCCACAACCGTGTCGTCTCTGTTGAGCCTGAGGGAGCTGGATGTGAGTTTCAATGAGCTTGAGTCAGTGCCTGAGAACTTGTGCTTTGCCACCTCACTTGTCAAGATGAACATTGGGAACAATTTCGCTGATCTGCGATCCCTGCCAAGGTCTATTGGGAACCTCGAGATGCTTGAAGAGTTGGATATCAGCAACAACCAGATACGAGTTCTCCCAGACTCCTTCAGGATGCTCACTCGACTACGTGTTCTGCGTGTTGAAGAAAACCCTCTTGAAGTCCCACCAAGACACATAGCCGAAAAGGGTGCACAAGTAAGTTTCCTCTGTTGTATTGACTTCTATATCCAGTAGGTTTGTAACTTCTATCTCAAGGCTAATTGTGCTTTCATGGTGCATGTTAGGCTGTTGTTCAATACATGGCTGAGCTTGTCGCGAAAAGAGATGTTAAAGCACAACCTGTTAAGCAGAAAAAGACTTGGGCTCAAATCTGCTGCTTCTCAAGGTCAAACAAAAGGAAGCGCAATGGTGAAGATTATGTAAAAGCCTGATTAATCACTGAATCCCTGCAAGAGATGTGATAATTTCTATCGAGTAAGCTATCAAAACAATATCTTGGCAAATTTACTTATAAGCCAGAAAAGTAGAATCATGCATTTACCTTTACCTATCGTGGTGACATGAGAACATAATTTTACTGAATTGTGAGTTGTGAGCATGTATGATCAACAACATAGTAACAACTACTACTAGGGATGATTTGATTATGTTTTCTGTCACATTTTTGTGCCACTCACACCTTTCTTATTTCTTTTTAACAGGAATACCATCTGTTAGCATGCTAGATGAGGGAAGAGACTACGAATCAACGTCAACTAATATGGTGGGTTTCTAAATTGTTCCATTGACTATCCCATACCAAATTGTATATCTGCTTTTTATTTGTTATTGTTACAATTTTTTCTTTTCATCCATCTGTATTTCTGTTATCTTTGAGTCAAAATGAGGTGTACAATTCAGCCGGCATATAGGAGAAACGAAAAACTTGTACTGTGTATATCACCTCCAATCCATTGTTCATGATATCTCTGTACGTGTATCCTTTCTACCACTTGTAATAGATTTTGTTTCCATTCAAAGGGAATCTAGAATCATATGCTCACTCCATTGTTGCTAATATGGTAAAAATTATTCGGAATCTGACTTTCGATGTGATCTGGGTACTCTAAGTCTTGACCTTATCAATAGGATGGAGCATCTTGACCTAATCTTCTGACTTAGAGCTTATGAATATTCCCCTGCTCCCAAAATCCAGATCGATGCCTAATTCTTACTTAATACTTAATAGGTTGTTGACTCTGCTTCCAATTGCTTTCCCACAGATTCTATCTGAATAGAAGACCCCTGATTGTGCGTTCCAAATAGTGAATAGATGCTTAATTATGCTTTAGTTACTGTTTAGGTAAAAATAGTGCAGATTAAAGTGATGATGCAGGGGTTCAGTATTTACTGAATGGTGGTAAAGTTTTATATGTGGATAGCCTTGGTTAATTTCAGAAGTTACTGTGGTGAATCACATGCTGTTGAAAGTCGTTTAGTTAGAACAATATGATGAGATGTTATAGTAGCTATTTTTAAACCAATTATCTTGAAGGTCTTTTGCTACACCAAATCTTTTGTCGTATGGATCGTTATAGTTTCGGCCGTCGTTCAGCCTTATGACTTTATGGAGACCTCTGTTCTTGTTGGAAATTGTTCAGAGTTACACACTACCATATGGTTTAATTATGGTCAGTGTGGACGACGTGACACGCGCTATAACCTGAGTGATGGGTAACACCAGGACCGTGTGACAGTTACACCGAAAATTTTCTATTCTTAATCCTCCAGTTCCAACTATGATCTTATCATCACCAGCTGATTCAGCACCATCACATGCCTCTCCTAGCTTCTTTGCAACTCATCTTCCATGGGTTGAATTGAAAAATAAAAACCCCAGCTTCCAGGAAGGTACATTCAAGACCTCCCCCATTCCTGGGACCCTGACTTCCGTGAGACCGACCCTACCAGGAAGGAAAAAGACCGGTGACAGTGGTGGCGGTAGTGGCGGTGGTAGCCCCGAATATTTCCGGTGGTTGTCAATTTTGCAGGAGGACCCCAGGATGAGGTGGTGAGGCATGCATGTTGGGGTGTTGAGAAATAGGGAACAATCGCTCTAAGGATGAGATTATCCTGCACCCAAACTTAAGCGTATGCGAGGGGCTATTAAATTCGACTTGAGTTTTTTGGCCAGCATTTGGCTCTTGGCCCATGTGAAAACGTTTGATCAATTGGGGATTGTAAAAAACATATCATTGATGTGCAGATCTGTTCGGACTCGAAGCAAAAAAGACCAACCCTATCCAAGATGTTTTCTTCAACTTTACACTTGACGTTTAGGAAAGACAAGGGAAAAGAGCGAGATAGATTAAATTGCCACAAGATGTATTGTTTGATGTGATCATTGGTTTGTATACTTTACAAGGTGGTATGGATCATGCTAGGAACAATCGTTCACTCGATATGAAATTTGGAAAATCATTTATCAGTTTGATTAGATATGGGAACACAATCAGACACATACTTGGTCACTAAATTTGAGAAATTTAAGATGATTCGACAATTTAGTATGACATTTTGATAATTTGGAGTGGGCTGGAGTACACTGTGAGTCCGCGATTGTCTTTACCGGTCCACTATAGTCAACCCTTGAGTCAATATCTGTCTATAATAGAATTAATAGTTGGCAATCACTCACGAGTAACATACACTAGAATAGCTCGTAGTCGTAAAAGGGGCACTGGTTAGTTGAAAGACATAACCAAGTGAAACACCCCTTCATTAGTTTGATTAGTGAAGTTGCTTACTTATCACATAAACGACTGTCCTTAGCATTCTTATCTTTCACATTCACTTATCATCATCATTATCATATGATTGTAAGAGGGGAAATTAATGGGTAGGTTTTTCCACTAACTTGGAATCTGTATGGCTGCATAGGTTCCCAAAATTAATCTTATTGTTATGATTGAGGCACTTGAGGGACTCATCATGTTCTTGAATCATCCACAAAACAAAAAGCAGTGGATGTCGCTGGATAAGGATTCTTTCTGGATTCTGTTTGTGAGGATTATGAAGATCATTTTATTGTATTTATTCATCGTATATTTTGTAATATATTTTCGTGAAGTATTATTTTATGTTTAATTTTAAATAAAATAATTCAAAATAATTTATAACCGTAAAATGACAAACAAAGGAACATGATAAAGTAATTTCCGAGATTGAGAGGATTCGGATATGATCTTATTCCGATGTGGCTGCATCCAATACATTTGACTAAAAATGTTATAGTATTATTTGGGTGGCTTTTCTTCACCTGATAAGATGTAAACTTTTCTTGCCTTCGTGGCTAACTCTGTTCATTTGTTCGGTAACTGTCAATGTTGTTGGAGCACGAAAATCAATCATGAAAATTAAATATGTAAAGGATAATCTTTTTATATAAATAATCAGCAAACTTTGTCACCGCCTACGTGTATTTACCTTCGAAGAACAGAGCAATAGTGAGATTAGAGAATAAATAATAGAATTATGAATTTATTGATCACCAAATGAGTTAGAGAACGTAAAATAAGTCAATTGATTATAAATAAAATACAAGGATGTATTGAAAATGGTGAATTGCGCGGTGGTTAAGGTATTTTTCTTCAATTCATTGTGCATTATATCATATTCTCTCATTTTAATGTAGATTAGTGTAGAATATCGATGTTCTTTAAAAAATATATTAAACTATGTTTGGATAAGGGATTTAGAGTAAATTAATTATAAATTCACCAGACTAATTGATTATGTAGAAATAACTTATCTAACTGACCAAAATAAGTTATTTTTTGGTTTAAAAAAACTATTTAATTAACAACGATGAAGATTTGAACTTGAGTGCAATAAGACGACAAAAGTGCCTTCGCCGATAGACCGAACTCACAACAATAACAACCCAAAGAAAGAGTTCGAACAAGAACTCACGTGTCTAACATCATTGTCCAGCGACCGGAATTGTGCCTCGTGGTGTGCCATTGGTACACATAACATGATAACTAGCAGGTGAACCAAACGACAACGTCTGGAAATTATGGCTAGGATTGGGCCTATAACACTGATGTATGGAGGTATGCTTAAGAGACATGTTGGGCTAGATCTTGTAGTTTTGAGACCCATAACGACCGGACTCTACATTTGGGTTCGCTTCAATACGAATATAACGGTTGGATGAGCCGTATTAAGAAATTTTTTAGTGCCGCGGTCTAATCTTCACATGGTATTAGTGATCATCTTCACATAATATTGATTGATTTTAACGAAAGAATCAAAATGACTTACGGTAGATAAATTCTTGGATCACTTCTATTGATTTTTATTGTCATAGATCAAGTGAGGAGTCATCCCAATCTTAGAAATCACTTTATATCACTAAATTCTTAAGGGACAGCACTGCTATGATTTGGCAATGAATTGGTTTACTACTGTCACTATATCCATAAATGGTTTCGTCTTCCTACATGCATCTTGCTTTCGGATGTAAATACACTTTTAATACATGTTTTTACATATTTTTTATTTAGAAAATTGTTATATCAAATCGTTAATCATTTTTTCAGGGAAAAAAAAAAAGAAATCCAATTAATAAATGTGAATATGTGCAAGTGGCTCCTTACCATAGTGGTGGAAAGGTGTTGACCTGTTACATGACGGTGTGAGTTTGAACTCCGTCGGTGGCTAATCTAACATCTAATATAACAAAATCTACTATTTGACGAAAAAATAATAATAAATATGAATATGTGCTACTAGTTAAACAAATAAGATGGTGGCATTACCAGTTAAATTTATCTTCATTTTTTATGAATGAATAAACTGCCACAAATTTGGGGTAGTAATATTGTTGTCGTAAGAGGACAACAATATTTTTACACAAGCATAGTGTAGAATTTCAAATATGCTTAAGCTCAGACAAATGACTGAAATCATTAATGTTATATGTATGAAAAATTCATTAAACAAACATGCCCAAAGATTGTGGGTTTTTTTTTTTTTTGGTTCCTCCAACAACGGTTCTATAACACTCATTCTCCTTTTGCGCGCTCTTCTTTCATATAACGGTTTTTTTCAGAAGTTTTAGTGCGTGTCATTGAGATTTAGATAAAAATCAGTAAAGAATTTGAACGATTAGGTTAATTAACTTTTGTGCGTTTTTATGTTCATATAATACGATATTGATACGCTTCAACATGAACCCTTGTGGTTTAGATTATGATGAATTAAGATTACAGTTCATACCCTTAATGCTAGCTAGCTATGTACAAAAGATGACGAGAAAATAAAAATGGATTATGACCAAAAGAAGCTCCATATATAAATTCTACACCATATATAGGATAGGATTCAATACATTGCTACCAGGAAAAAAAAAAAAAAAAAAACATAAAAAATAACCGCAACCCACAGCAGCTTGGCTCTCGCGCGTCACCCTGTAGCCAATGTCAAATCCAGGTTGAGAACGGCCGGCTCGTTGAGGTCAGGGAGAACAACCGGCAATGCGACCGTTAATTTGACGGGATACGTACGGTTCGTCAGCAAAGGCTTTAAGGCTTACAGCTTTCTCAGTCGACTCTGGTAGATTGGTTTTTCTGACTCTCTCCGCAGGAAATAGTGGCAAAGTACACGAGTTTGAGGTGTTTTCCTTCTTCTGGTCCATGAGTGATTGCTTTAATTTGTTCTTGTTATGTTGAGGGGAGACCACAAAAAAATACCCGAACAATATATATATATATATATATATATATTCAATATTAATGACCCCCATCAAAACAACTCATACGTAAAAATGGACTTCGTTGTGTGTGTGTGTGTGTGTGTGTGTATAGACTTATAATGAGAGAGCAAATGTTATATAAATATTGTTAATATGATAGAGATCCTAGAGTTCTAATTCTTTTTCACATAATTATAAACCCTGATGACCAACAAGATTAATGTAAGGAGAAAATTTGAAGAAATAATTAATTTGTTCAATATTCTCCCAAAATGAATTTGGGTTAAGTACAAAAAAAAAAAAAAAAAACTTTTTTAGGACGATTTCAATTTAGTCTCAACCTTTTAAAACATTCCAAATAACTATCTAACATTTTAAAAATTAGACATCTGTTAGGTCACCAGAGACTTTGCCAACATTAAATGATGACGTTACTAACATTAAATAATAAGGTGGACAAATACTAAAGTTGATTTTCACTAATCAATGTCTTTAGAGTTCTAATCCCTCAAATTGACCCATTTTAGTCAAGTTAAACTGTAAATTTGCTCAGCTACATGATGTCAATTTGGAGATTCAAATCTCTATAGATGACTTGAGAGTTAAAACATGCTTAATATTTGTCCATGTCATCACTGAACGCTAATGAACTTAATAGATGAATTTTTCAAAAATTTAGGTAATTATTTGGAATGTTTTAAAAGATTAGAACAAATTTGAAATTGCACCTAAAAGCTGAGTAGTTATCTGGACTTAATATAAATTCACCAAAAAATTTATTCTAAGAGAATAAAACGAATTTGCACGGATGATTGGGATAGCCGCACTCAGGGTGACTCTCAGTTATTAATAAATTTAGATCTCTTTATGAGATTCATTTCCACAAATGATTGAAAGTCACCCGACCCATGCATATCTCAAAGTCACCCATGCGACAATCCTTAACATTTCTTTTGCATCCCAAATCTGCTGATCACATGAACAAAAAATAAAAAGAATATGTAAGAGTTTATGATCCAAATTACTTTTGCTCCTTCTTTCAGCCCAGATATCCAGAAAAAAAATTCAGTCACCGATCATGCCGTTTTGAGTTTGAGGGTTTCGGGAGGCTCGGAGAGAGTGAAGATGCTTTCGGGGAGAGGGAGGGAGGGAGAGAGAGAGAGAGAGAGAGAGAGAAGATGCTTTTGTTTCTTATTAGGTTTGGTCTTCCTCATAGGTCTTGACGTCGTTTTATAGTTGAAAGACTGCATTCGTATTTACCAAAATGCACTTGGACCGCACACCAAATTTCAGAGATATTGCTCTGACTGAAATTGGCGTTCGTTACAAATTTCATTGTCAAAATTACCAAAATGTCAATCGAACAATGAACTACTAATATTATTTTGATTAAATAATTGCAATGGTGGGGAAAAATGAAGTTGCTGGATATAATATTTGTAGACGACTATTAAATATATTTTTATGTTAACAAAATTCTTCTTCCTTTTTTATGTACTTTGAGTTTTATGTTTAAAAGTATTTGAGTATAAAAACCCTAGGCGTCCGAACTCATATCAATGATCAATCATCGCGACCGGAACTATTCTAGAGCACGTGTTTTGGACGATCAACTGACTCCAACGTCTACTAATAGTTCGTTAAATAGATTCGTATATGAAAACGGCCGACAAAATGGAATTAATGATGAGATTTAAAATGATAATAAAAGTCGACATATCGACAAATTCTGGTCAACAAGTACAATTATATGGCGATAGTTGCTTATGAAATTTAACTTTATCCACTATGAAATTTAAATTTTTAATTGTATTATGCATTTACTATAGACGTACGTAACTTATAAATTTTAAAAATATTAGAGTTGCGCCTTACATACCACGACATCATCCATTTGTATCGAATAACAAATATATGCAGCATCATCGATTTGTATCGAATAACACATATATATTATAATTGAAAATCATAAAATCGTACTAAAAATGGTAAATAATGTACAAAATGATAAGTGATACTAATACAAAATACAAGGTAAGAGTGTGATAAAACATAAGGGGTACAATGGTAAAAGAGTCCAGATAAAGAGGTTGAGAAATTGGAGGGAAAAATATCAAACATAGAAAGTAACGGAGTTGACAAGAAGGCAATAACGCCTTCCAACAAAATGCCCGATTTTCTTTAAATACGTTTCCATATTCACGTGGAAGTGCCATTTTAGCAGTCAACCTTCCACTTTAGCTCGTAACGTTGGATTCCATATCTGGCAAGTGCATCCTCCTCCGTCCATCTAATCCATCCAACGGCGCCGAATGCACCAACATATTAGTTGCGTGGTTTGACAGAACGTCCCTATATTTTGACTGTTAAATTTTTACAGCCGTTAGATCACATAAAAAATAATCTAATGGCTCAAAATATTAGATTAACGTTGTATACAAATGAAAAATTGGGTAGAGGGAATGTTGTGAATAGATACCTCTGGTAAATCATTGATTCGATGTTTTATGCTGAACATGTTTAGCTTTACAAAACTAACATCCTTCTCCTCATTGCAGCCTTCAGATGCCTCGGAGATCTCCTCTATCATTTTTAAAATGAAAGACCACCTAATACGAATTCGAGAATAATATATAACTGGATTGCAAGTTTGCTTGCAACTATGCACGTACGAATTGAGTCTTGAATTATTTTATAGGTGAAGACGATGGTTTTACTGACCACAATATTGAAAAACCATGTTCTCGAAACCGGGATGAAATTATGTTTTAATTCGCCTTATCTAGTTAAGATTTGTTTTATATTTATTCGGCATGTGATTATTCTTATTTGATTTTTAGAAGATTCATTGTTTTTTATTTCAACCGAATCTACATATATTTAGATTTTTAGCTCCAGTAAAGATAGCATTGTGAAGAATTATCTCACAACAAGGTTTGTAGAGTTTTTTTTAATTTTTTAAAATTTTGATACAACGATATATTTAAAATTAGAATAAACGAAGAGTTGCAGCCCTTCAATGTGCTCTCTACTTTTTATGCGCTCGTTGGCCACATGTTAGTAATTAACGAGTTTTAATTTGTTCAACAACAATGCTATATGTTGTGGACATAAAAATATAGTATTAATAAAGAAACACATGTGACATAGCTGGAGTGAGTTTATAAAAAGGAAAACTAACGAAAAGTTAAATATTTTTTTTTTAGTTTTAATGACAAATGACAAATAAATGTGTAGTGAATAGTACTAGGGAAAGGTAAAAATATGGTTTTTTGTTAAAATTGAACAGTACAGAGAGTGTTTCGTTGAAACTCCCATTATAAAATTATGTGATTGCATGACTGTTACACTAGTTAGCAAACAAAATAAGGCAATTGAAGAAAAATAAACAAAAAACTGCAAGAATTTTTTTTCTTCAATCATTAGTGACAGCCCAATGGGTTGTTATAACCACTAAAATCTCTTGCTGAGAGGTTTCTAGTGACGGATTGTTAGCAATAACATTCACTCATCCTATCTTCGAGGTGGAGCGATGATCACAGATCACCATTAACAATTTGATGGGATAATTCTGCAGAATTTTTATCATGGTTGAGGAAGTACGTTTGAGCATGACTTACAACTTGTGTTGGGGTTCTTGTCATAACGCAGAACCTGGAAATGCTCTTCCAGTCTCCCTTCCCATATTCCTTAAGCCCTTCAAGAACAACCTGACCAAATCATGGCCAAAATTTTCAAAAATAACATAAAATTTGAAGATTAATTAATAACCATGAGTTATGCAATGTGTTCTCGTCCTAAATCTAAATCACACATTTATAAGGACTTACTTGTGTTCTTCCTCGGTCCATTTCCTTCTAAGTATTGGTTTTGTTCTAACTTTTCTTTCGGTGAAAGTCTCGTACTTGGGTACCGCTACCCGACTCGATCATCAAAGTGTCCTCAACCAATGCTTCCAAGTGCTTCTTCACTTGCTCAATAGTTTTCCCAGGAACCCTTAAACTTAGTTCTTCAAAAAGGTCCGGGTCATCATCAGCATCAAGGTTCAGATCTGCAAGAGCATTTTCAAAACTCGTGTCCACTCACGATCAACATTACTCTGCAGGCTGGGTTGGCTCAGATAAGCTGGTTGAGAAACCTAAAGGATCCTTAAAAAACATGATTGTCTCATCATTATCCAAATAGAAAAAGAAGAAAAAAGGCCTAGTTTTTTCTCAATCTTCTGGTGGGTACATATTCAATCATGTTTATACTTGATTCTTGTATGCAGAATTTTGAGTATAACGGTCACATCTTTACATCACATGATGTACTAATTCACTTGCTATAATATGAATAAATCAACTTTATAATCGATATGTCATGATTTAATAATAATAAATATAAAAATGCAGTATAACATAAGTGCACTGGTAACAATAACACCGAAAAATTACAGCATATGTAAACCTGGCTCTACGAACTTACCAAAAAAAGCTATTAACTTTATTGTCTAAATTCATAAGGGACAACAATGCCATGATTTGGTTCCCAGATATCCATAAATGGATTCTTCTTCATACATGCATCTTACTTTCCGATATACATGATATTAATTTTCTAAAATATATTATTCTTGTATGGTAGTTTACTAATTGATCTTATTAAGAAATGAAGGTACACAAAATTAAAATAAAAAAACTGCTACCACTTTGGGGGTGGTAATTATGTTCAAGTGCATCTGTCTATGGCAGGAATTAGGGTTAGGGATTGCTTTGTCTTCTGAAGTTAAGTGGATATAGAGATATTGTAGTGGGTCTTTGTTGATATGAATTCCTTAGCTCTTTGTCTCAGCTCTTCTTTCCATACTTAATAAATCCCCTCCTTTGAAGATAATATTTTACAGTAGTGGTGAAAAACAATCATACTTAATTATGCACTATGGTGTAGGTCTGATCATCAACTCTTCCCCCCAATACAACTAATAATTTAACTCACTAATGCTATCGGTTTTTTGAAAAAAAAAAAAAAAAATACCCCTTTAGGAATAACCTTAAAAAAAATATTAATGGGTAATTGGTTAGGGATGAATTTTAGGCCCTTATTCTACGCGTCGAACAAATATAGAGCAAATCTAACTAGATATAGTGTATTAAAACGTAATCTCATCTCCAAATTCGAGTACATTGTTTTTTCAATATTGTGGTCCATAAAACCGTCCTATTCACTTGTAAGATTATCATATACCTTAACAATCAAATATCATATCAACCAGGCACCAAAGGAGACTAATCTCATACCTGAACAATCATGCAGTAGTAAATCTTAATGCCAATTTCGACCCACCATACAAAATACTTTCTTTCTTTAGTGTTTTTTTTTTTTTTTTTTTTTTTTTTTTTTTTTTTTTTGAAATTCTCACTCTTTAATTTTTTCAATCTTTGAGTTTTGTTCTCATTGATTATTTCACTTTTTTCATTACCGGTATTAGAGGAGAAAATTTGAAAGAAAAAAAATTAGGCAATTAACAGTTACCCACTCTCTAACCGCAGGAAGAGGGCTACATGTTGCGTGTGGTTCAAAAGAGGCACACTAGGAATTTCAGCAAAACTTCATGGAACCTGTTAAAACCCAAAAGCACTTACTGAGATCGTTTCTTCTCAGAAGTTATGTACATGTACTTTAATTTCATGGTTTCTCTCTCTTCTTGAAAGGTAATTTCTTTCTTTCCAAGAAAGCAAATATATATTCAAATTTGGCGTTAATTTCTAATTAAATTATATAAATTTAAGGTTGATGCTACAAAGTACAAGAGTTTCCTTCTTTCTCTGCTGAATTCCCTTCTGGGTTTGAAAGGTCCTCCTGTTGTTTGTGGCAGCAGAAAGAATGTGGGGAGCTGTTTTTGTAGCCATTGCTGCTGCGACAGGAAACTTGTTGCAAGGATGGGACAATGCAACCATTGCAGGTACTATTTCTATGATGATTCTCTTATTCGAGCGACATTTTAATCTAATTTAAACTACATAAGAGAGATTCGAACTCGGCTATATGCTAATCTAAATAATAAGTCTTTGAGATCTCATTTGAGGCATGAATAATTATCTTCTTTTGCAAATGATTGCACATATCTTTATTTAATTTGAGTTATGAGAGTTGTAGGGTTTTCCTCGTCAACCCGGAAAACATATCAAAAGCAGGCATTGTGTTATGTGATATGGAAGCTGTGACATTTACAAATCAAATTTGCAGGGGCTGTGCTTTACATCAAAAGGGAATTTAAGCTGGAAACCCAACCGACGATCGAAGGGCTTATCGTAGCCATGTCTTTGATCGGTGCCACTGTCATCACAACATTCTCACCTCAGGGCCAGTTTCAGACTGACTAGGAAGACGTCCAATGCTGATAATTTCATCAGTTTTATATTTTCTCAGTGGTTTGGTAATGCTATGGGCTCCAAATGTCTATGTCCTTCTGATGGCAAGGCTACTAGATGGGTTTGGAATTGGACTAGCCGTTACTCTTGTCCCTGTCTACATTTTCGAAACTGCCCCACCTGAAATCAGAGGGCTACTGAATACTCTCCCACAGTTTACCGGTTCGGGAGGCATGTTTTTGTCATACTGCATGGTGTTTGGAATGTCACTGAAGGATGCCTCAACTTGGATTGACTCTGTTTTACTGCCGGAGTCTCCACGGTGGTTAGTAAAGGAAGAATGGCTAAGGCTAAAAAAGTTCTGCAGAGACTACGCGGACGGGAGGATGTTTCAGGTTCATAAAGTACTGCATTTGAATTTATGAATGCTTATGTTTTCGGTGCTGATATTGTGCTAATGTCTAAAATTGTAACGGGTTTACCCTTTTCCCATTTTTTGAATGCTTAGTTTTTTTAGGATTGATTGATATGCAGGTGAGATGGCTTTGCTGTTTGAGGGACTTGGTGTTGGAGGGGAAGCATCATTGGAAGAGTACATAATTGGACCGGCTAATGAGGGCGGTGAAGGCCAGGAAATGACTTCGGATAAAGATCAAATAAGGCTGTATGGACCGGAGGATGGGAGGGCTTCGATGCTTGAGGGGAAGGCGTCAATGATTGCGAAATCTGTCACAGGACAAGCAAATCTTGGCTTGGTGTCGCGACAAGGAAGCTTGTTGAATCCAAACATGCCTTATGTGGATCCTCTTGTAACTCTATTTGGCAGTGTTCATGAGAAGCTTCTTCCCGAAAACACAGGAAGTATGCGCAGCCTTCTTAATTTGCCGAACATGGGCAGCGTGCTAAATGTGGCGCCGCCTGAACGCCAAGACAAGACGGAGAATTGGGATTTGGAGGGAAATGGAAATGCTGCTGATTTTGAGGACAATGTTCGAAGGCCATTGCTCTCAGGTTAAAAATCAGCAAGTATGGTAAATGACATGATGCCTAGTAAGTCCAGTAGCTTCTTTGGCACGAGGCACAATAGCAGCCTCATGCTGGGGACTAGTGGTGAAGCTGTGAGTAGTATGGACATTGGCGGTGGCTGGGCGTTGGCTTACAAATACTCTGAGAAGGTTGGAAAAGATGGAAAAAAGACAGAAGAGCACCAGGAGGGTGCACTTGAGTCTCGACGAGGCTCAATGCTTTCAGTTGCTGTCGGTCCTGAAAAGGCTCAAGACATCGATTATTTTCAAGC